TAGACGTTTTGATAGTTTTTTTTTAAAGAAAAAGGAGTTGTGCTGAATTTTGCCAATGTTATGTGCTGCTTGACAAAGTTCATTATCAGCAAAAAAATTGCTGCGCATATGTAATTTATTGATTAGCCATTTTTGGGTTAGGTACAGTTCTGTTACGTTACCTACTCTATGATATGAAAAAATGTCATGAACATTCTTCAAGCTTTCTTTTGCTACTACAATCTTAGAGTTTGAGTTAGGTAAAAGAAATGTCTTTCATTTTTTTTCCAAAATTCGTTGAAAAGTTAATATTGAATTATTTTTTATTCGTTATGATACAGTAAAAGTTCCTTATTCACCGTTGCCTTATTCGCGTTTTCATTATTCGCGGGTGAAAAAATTGCAACCCAGTACCTGTATTTGCGGTTAAAAATTTCATTATTCGCGGTTGCTATCGGTAAACAGAAAAGGATTCGGTGTCATTTATTAAGGGGATTGACCGCAATAGACCGCTCGTGTCTAGTGTGAATTTTTTTGAAAACATGGGTTCCTATTCTAAACATTGTGATTTACCGCTGCGAGATAAATATGTAATTTTTTGTATGGTAACAGACAAAAGTTTACACTAACTCGGTATGTTTTTGGTTTTCAATAATATGGTCATTAAAAGTTTTTACAAGTGTTTACAGTTGATGCTTCTGGTAGGGCACGTATTTTCAATAGAAATTAAAAAATGGTCTTCGACAAGCTTTAGAACAAAGCTTTATCTATCTTACTACAAAATTTCAAACTTCTGTTCCAAATATTAAACTCATGATATCTAGAACCGATAAGCATGTTNCTATCTTACTATAAAATTTCAAACCTCTGTTCCGAATATTAAACTCATCATATCTAGAACCGATAAGCATGTTTTTATTCTACGGCGCGTGTAATACTGAATGCCCTTAATATATCGGCATCTTTTGAGTATGTACAGTTGGTACGTGCCGAAGCGGCTTTTATAAAAATTCTAACCGAGTAGAAAAGGATTCGGTGTTATTTTTCAACGTATCAGCATCTTTTGAGTACTATTGGATTGTGCCGAGTGGACTAATTTCAAAATTCAAAACAAGAAAAAATCACTAAATTTTTTACTCTTTCCTAAAGAGCTGATTATATCCATTAATTTTTATTGCGAATTTATCAATACACTGATTTTATTTTGATACATGTTGGTTTTATTTTGGAACCTTAGAACGTATCCCCTATGATTCCACACTAATTACCATTCCATATCCACGGTTTCCGTATTCGCGGCATATTTATGGAACGTGTACCGCGCGAATAAAGAGCTTTTACTGCATTACATTTTCCGTATGGTGCAAATAACCACCTTTCTTCATTTTCGGATCCAGTTCCGCATTCTTTGGTCGCTAGTCTCTTATTAAACCTAAGGGCGCCAAGTTATCTTTTTGTCCAGAATAATTACACTGGGCAATGTTTCCAATAATTCCTAGTCTTAAAACTAATTTTAATAATTCTCAAAACCAGTGGCGTAGCGTGAATTTCTGCCACCTAAGGCGAAGCCTATATTTGCCGCCCTTCCTATTTTCACAATTAAGTAACTTTTATTGGTATTGGTTGAGATTGCAGTGAAAGGGTTTACACAAGCACTTAAATTTCTCCAGTCTTTTTGTTTAAATAAAAAAACGAATGTTTGGAATTCATTACATGATTGTTAAGTTGATAATTTTCAGCAATTGCTCTGTCCAAGGTCTCCATCTGAGTAGAATTTGAGACGTTTGTTGGCAAAATAAATTTTGTGCTGTTTTTCGTATGATGCAACATTTGTAAACTATAACAAAACAATTAATTTCAGTTCAAGAGGTGTTAATTTACTTAGGAACAAGTTTAAAATTAAACATTTAAATTTGCAAATGTCTCACATAATTTCATTTACATACATAATTCAGAATTACAAGAGGATTTTGAGGGTCCACCTCATGATTAATAAAGAATTGTAAATATTTCGGTTTTTTTTTGTTAGACAATACCACCACTTTTCGTAACGTAAGTATTCTTTGATACTTCGCATTCCTAAAATGATGTGAAGAAATAGAAACTACAATTAATGTTGTTTTTCGCTGAAAAAAAACTCGATGACGTTCATATCATGAGTTGTGCAGTTGTACATAAATGAAAGGCACCGTCTTATTAATTTT